AAAAATATTGGTTATCTCATATCATAATTGGAATATTCACGTATTACAGGTAGTTTAATATATACTACAAATTGTATGCGTCTAAATGCATAGTGTATGCAAGTAATCCGGGAAAATGATCATTGAAAGGCATTAGCGAGGGTTTTAAAATATTTAAGACACACAGCTAATTATGGATTACACTATTGTAGATATCCTACTGTGTTAAAATGATTTACCGAAATGCAAATTAAATATTAGATACAAAAGATTCTATGCCTATAAGTCTTATGTTTTTACCATTGAAGGCAGAATTGTGCTATTGAAATCCTCAAAGTGATGAAATTTGAGTTTATAGCTTTAGATATAGGTCATTCCACAATGGGATAAAGTAGATATAGGTCATTCCACAATGGGATAAAGCATATCCCACGTTGGGATATGCCACTACCTGCTATTAGTATACATTGTGATAGTTACTCAGTTATTGAAAAGAATACAAAACAGTATGTAAAATAGTAAATCTCAACATATTCGTTGCAGATATAATACCATTAAATAATTGACTTCAAATGGTGTACTCTTTATTGATTATGTTAAATCAAAGGATAACATAATGAATCCTCTTACTAAAGAATTATGGAGAGATCAAGTATATCATCTTTCGAGTGAAATGTCCATAAAGCCTATTGACTAGAATCATCATAGTGGTAACCCAACCTTATTAACTGAAGATTCCAAGATTTTTATTCAAAGGGATAACTAAGTTATGAATGATTCAGACGAGCACTTCGAAGAATACTTCTATCCATTCCTTTGATAATAAAGTGTTATACTGTAGAGTATATCAAGATAATTTATACTTTTAATGATTCCTATATTATGAAAAAATCAAGTTAAGTATGACTGAATACTTTTTAATTGGAGGAGATCACTTATGTAAATGTTAAGTAAGGCCAATTCAATGAGAATTTTGAGGCTTGAATTCTCTTAAAGGGCTTTTGAAACCAAGAGTTATTAGGGCAAAATGAACACAATAATGAAAATCGAAGTTGTTAGGAAAGATATTGTGTAAGTACTGTTGTCTTGATTTAGAAAAACAATTAAACAGTTCAAGACATCATGTTCACTTATTAGCTAAGTGAATTCAATAGCATTTTCCCAAGGTAGGTTCAAAGCACAAAACGTATCTCTATTGATGCAATATCTTTCCACGGGTACTCTCTATTAGTGTTTGCGTTATCCTTTGCATTTTCGGGTTATTTTCATTCATTAGGAGATTGTTGGAGATATGTCTAATTAAGGTTGACTTTGAATTAAATTTGACCAAATATTTGGATAGATCCTATTAGTAAATTCACGCAAATGAATATCAAACGCATTCTATTCCTCGAGTCGATGATCGAAGTCATTTTCGAATAAATGAAAAATTGATAGATAATATCAACAAATTTTTGAAATAAGATATATTCTAAATATTCAAATTTAACAAATCACTTGAGCGACATTGCTTTTGAAAAAATTGCTTGAGTGGTTTGGGTGGCGGCAAACGAGTAGTCCACAAATAGGCGTGGTTGTTCGTGGTGAATTTTAGGACGTGTCTCTCAGGCTACAGCTCTTCAATCTTCATAAATTGCACCCTCTCCCCATGTTAGTATTCATTTATTCAAGATCATAAATATTCATTACTTTATTAAATTTTCCAAAATCATTTTTTTTTTTATCAAAACGTCCCATCCCTTAGAGAATACAAAAACATTGTTCTGGTTTGTTGTTTATTGTGATTTGAAGTACTGCCACCACAAGAAGAGATCATTGTATCTTATAAAGCAATTGTCATTCGACCTTCAGCACTTGTACAAGACTCTTTGCATCGATCTAATCATCATTCAATTTCGACTTTTGTTTATTTCAGAATTTTATCAAATCCAAATAAGTTTGTATGGGTTATTTATTTACTTTAATAAAGAATATTAGAAGTTGTTCTCTCCGTGTTTGAGTTTTTAGTTTTGAGTTTGAATTTCATTTTGAATTTTGTGTTCTAAGTGTCTGTTTTGAAATTGTTGAAAGCACGTTCTTTTTTGTCATTTTGAAAAAATGTTTCTTAAAATATGAAAATTGAAAACACGTTCTTTTTTTTTTTTTTTCATTCATTCTCTTCTCCAGCCAAGGCGATTTTCGCCCCCTCCAACTGTCATCTTCTACCTCACAAATCGACCACCACCCACCACCTAGACCACCAGATCCGAGCATCACTCGAACCCCTCACCTCCTCCCAGTGGTAGAGCCACACTTGGGCAAATTTTTGACACATGGCTGGACAGATTTTTGGATGAAATCAGCCAAAACAATTGAACCATGGTTGGCAAAATTCATTAAGTTTTGGGCGAAATTGGGGTTGACCCAAGGCCGGACAAGGTGCGCCAGGTGAAGAAGAGTTCAACCAATATGGTTTGGGACTATGGGTCGACCGGACGGTGCCGAAATCTGCAACATTCGGATTCTATTGAACTGGGTTCGTGACCGGTTTGTTTTCAAATTTAATTCAGATTGTTGAATTGTTGTTTATGGTAAATTGGGGCGATGGTTGGGGTCGGTTTGTGGTAGGCAATTGACCGGCGGTGGTGCGCAACCATGGGTATCGCTAGAGGTGGAGATTCCAGCAGAAAAGAGGTGTGCGACATTTATTTTTTGGGCTGGAATTTTTGCTGCTTCTGGTTGATTTGTGGCTGGTGGTTGGTTGGAGATTGTAGACAGGAATGAGGCGAGGTTGACGGTGGTTGGATCCGGTGGTTTTGACAGCTAGAAGGTGGTGATTTGTGACAATAACTCCGACGGTTGAGGAGAGGGAAGGTTGAGGAGAGGGACGTTTCCCGTGTTTTTGAGTTTTGCTATGTTTTGTGAAGAAAACGCCGAAAACGACAAAAATTTTGTTTTGTGTTTTCTTCACAAAGTGTTTTTTTTGTTTTCAAAAATTCATTTTTGAAAGCGGGAAAGAGAACGCGTTTTCACTATTTTGAAAATTAGAAATTAGAAAACGGTCCGGAAACGGCAAAGAGAACACATCCTTACTTTTTTCATGTTTGCAAACATGACACTACTTTAGATAATAAAATAATACACATGTTGAAAAACTAGCAATATTTTATTATGTTTGAGTTAGGTATGTATGAATAGGTACCAAAATAAAATGTCCTTTACCACGTTTCTATAATAATGATCTTTGTTTATAGGGATTTAAAGCAAGAAAAAACCACATGTTCTATAATCTGGATTAATTGGGGTGAGGTGGCTATTGCTCTCACAGTATTTCATTAAACAATTTTTTTATTTATTAATTATTATTATTTTGAACATATTCTAAAGTGATATAAGAGGGAGACAGAGAAAACTTCAAAATATATATATATATATATATAATGTATAGTTAGGTAATATTCGATTTTTTTTTTCCCGGTTCTCACTTTAATGTCAAGGGGTCACAAACATTAAATTTATAGAAAGAAACGAAATTCTAGATTCGTGGTTCTCAAGGTAAATGATGAATAATGATGTACTTATCAAGCTCAATATCATGAATAATTAACTCTTAAGAACATTAGAGACTTAAAATTTCAAATCTTAAGCTAAAAATAATGCTATTTTACCATTAGGTTAAAATGTTTGGATTTTCTTATTTATATCATCGAAAATAACCATATCAAATGATTTATATTTTTTAAGTTATCACTGAAAATAATAGTTTAATGAAACTAAAAGTAATGCAATTTTATAACATTTTCAAAATGAGAAAGGTCATAAAAGAGCAATGTATAGTATCAAAACTATTTTGTTTAAATTTTTATTTTGATTAAGTTCCGCGTTAGATATTTTAATTTCAAAGAAATTGTCTAATTTATGAATTTCTTAGGCTTATCATCAATTTTTTTACTCCCTGAAGGTTACAAAGTTTTCCTTTCTTACAAGGAAATGTTACTTGTAGATATACAAATCTATAACTAATCATATACTTCAAGGATGGTAAATGAAAATGAAGGAAAAGCACCTTCAATGCTAATGTGAATTTTTTTTATATAAATTACCGATGGAGGAAAATGGACAATAAAAAAAAAAAATCACTTTAATATTTTTTGATAGAAACTCTATGGAGTTGATGTGGCAAAAGTAGCATAATTGCCTAGAGATTCGTCTAGATATAGACGCACTGTTAGATATATTGACTCAACAATAATTTATTTAATTTTGTTTATATTTTTATAGCAATAAATTTTATCTCTTTTATTTATTTTTATTGTAAGGTAGATAAGTGACACATATACAGAAATATTGAGTTATAGATAGAACTAGTTGGAAATCAATTTTACATTTGATTATTTGTTCATTTTTTAGAAGTGCCTTGTAAACTACAATTCATGAAATGCATTGAAAATGCTCTGAAAAGAACACATTGACATATTCAAACATATGAAATCATGGAAAATTTTATCTTGTCACTAAAATATTTGTCTTTTTCTTCTTTGCACCCCTCTATTCAGGCCATCATAAACGGTGAATTCAAGTTTTAATTCATGTCACCTCCGAAGTTAGACAAGACAAAAAAAAAAAGGAAAAAAAAAGCACCATATATATTGATAATCCATAGCAATATAATCAAGAGATTGAACATGATAAAATAGAAACAAAATATTATCGCGAAAAGTTAGACCCAAAAAATAAAAAAAAAAAAAAAAAAAAAAAAAAAGAACCCCATTTTTTTATAAACACAAAAAAAAAAAAAAAAAAAAAAACAACAAAAAAAGAAAAGG